TATGTTTTGCCAAAAGAGTACTACGAAGGTTACTGTCGACTTGCATATGTCGTAGCTTGCTGAGTCCTGCCATTACTTCCTGCTTGGGTTTGTATGTTCTTCATCTTAGTATCTCTTTATAGTTTATTCTGCATCTGTTATTGTCTTACTCATGTAGACTTCACGTCATCACCATCCAGTGTTTACCGCGAATATATTGATGAATAGCTAATACTTTTTCTACTATTGCTTTATGACAGGATTAGACCACGTTTCGAAGTCGCTTCTACTTTTCGAATTCACCCGGTGCGGCTGCATGTATTTTAGGCATTTCCAATAAAGCCTCTCGAATAGGTCAGTAATGTATAATCTGCGTACAGTTTACTTTAGGCTTATCATCATGCGTGCATTTTAGATGTGATCGAGGTGGGTAGCAGCTTCGAGCAAGTGGTTCTTCCTTCGCTAGGAATTACTTGACATACAGCGTTTATCAGGTTGCTGGCGATGCGCCCACAAACCACACTGGCGTCCATTTAGTTCGTTGACCAAAACTGAAGCGGCAAGCCCCCAGCTAACGGTCTACTAGGCTGGAAGCCACCCACTGACCCGCAGCGACACGAAAATAGGGTTTAGGATATTAGTGTTTTGTTTTTTGCTCATTAATCGCTATAGCTAGCCATTGGCAGCGTCAAGATCGGTGAAATCTTCCATTATTCTTTTTGCATTGGGCGAAAATCGTCGATTAGCCTTTTTGCCTTATGATCAACAACAAGGATCCGTCAGGAACGGCTCGGCGAGTGCCCGGCTTCAAGACGAACGCAACTCTCTACTCAGCTGGTTGAATTTAGTCACCATACTAGTTAGCGATCCTCGTTTTGCAACTCTAAACTTCTACCCCACCGATGTTTTAGATAGGATTACACGATGGCCTGCATTCCGTGAGTGCCTATTCGATGGCGGCAATTCAGCCGGCTCCATTCATCTGCCCTTCATGACGATCGGCACGAATAAGCCCCTTATCTTCCCCCTACTGCTGTTATGTCATTATGCCTCGTTAGTTCACTGGCCGAAGAGGCGAGGTATGGCCGAAAAAGCAACGCTGGGATTCACCCACTCGTGCACCTTCAGGCTACAAACAATACAAGTAAAGAGTATCTAATCAAAAATAAAGGAAAAGACTTTACACCTCGCTACTCAAACAACCAATGCCTTTACACTTATTTCGCTTAAAGTGAACTATTACGTATGTAATGTCACTATTACAATTGACCGCCCAGTTCTAGTAGAAGTGATAATGACAACGCCAAACAGATATATAAACATGCACCTTCTGTTGCTAGCACACACTTACTAAAGCTATCGTCGCCGTTTTGTTATTCAACTTAGTCACGCGATTTACACTGACCACTCAACGTTCATGGTAGCGATGAGAGTCATTTCCACTCTTCCTAGCTGTTAACCGACAAAAACCCAGACATACTCCGTACGTGAATGACTAATAGATGGAAAAGTCGCAACCCAGGCGGTGGAGTCTAGTTAGGGGTAACACCTTAAGTGGATAAAGGAAAAAAAAAGGTCACTACGCGAGGCTGGTCAGGCGGTGGAACCGGGGATACCGCGCAGAGATACAGCAGCGACAACGGCGAAGAACAGCGAGAACTTCAACTTGACCGTCTTCCGTTCAGCGGAACGCAGGAATCGTCGGGTCGGACGAGGGCTCGGCAAAGGCTAACCCGGTACCCGTCTCAGACCTGTTGTGCTTGCTGGTGCCGATGCTGTTTGTATCGCAAATGCCTCCTATTGTCTCATGCTGTTTCTTAGGCGTTGCTTAGCTACGCCAGCTGTTCATGTTGTTGTGTATAACTTGGGGATCGCAGCGGCGACCGTCGTCGCCTCGTCCTGACAACGAAAAGGGAAACGAAGTGACACTGATGACGAAAATTATGGTGGAGTGGTTGACGAGCTGAGTTCTCCGGATGTCACTTACTACTTCCGATGCAACCGACGAACGTTGGTCCTCCTTCCATTAAAGAATCGCTTTCGACTGCTGCTGGCGCTGTTCAGTCGATGTTAAGTACTGGCACCTGACGCTGCATAAATATCCGCCATTAAGGCGGTTAATCGCCGGCGTAACGTCGACGACTGCTTGGCATGGACGATGAGCAACTACTTAGCCATTAAAATTAGAATAACTACTTTTACTCTCAGGGGTAGCTGTGTAGCCGGCCGTTGTAATGGCACCCGGAATAGTGGCCAGTTTGTGTGCAGGCTGTGTCTCTGCATTTGATTGCGTGAATACCTTTGGTACACATAATTTTTAGTATTTTTTTTTTGTGTGGAGCGAGATAAACAGTCAAAAATAACACGGATGATAAAGGGTAACGCGGTTTGGGTTTTGAGAAAGACTTCCTCGTTTGTTTCCGGCCGCGTAAGTAATGTCAGGTTGCCCGTTTGACTTCTATGACAGAAAGCAGGACATTGACAACAAGGTTGTCACCGTATTATCCAACGTGGTCAGGTCGACTAGGTTCTTTGTTTTTTTCTTAGGCTATTCATTGGTTAACGAAATCGATACTGAATTTAGTTTCAGCTTGAACATATACGCAAGTCAACGATAGAACCAATCGTATCACTATTGTATCTGAATTTTGCTCCGATGATTTTTCCTTCTCGCCTGCATTGATAACAATAACTGGCCATACGCTCGCAAAGGTTAAATCGCGTGCTATAAGATGCTCTTTCTTCTTATCGGAGTTGTATTTTTTAATATCAATATACGCCCTCCAGATGCCTATCGCTTTCGAGCGGAGATAAATCGCAATTTCAGTTTTGCTGCTGCGAAAATTACTACTGTTTATATTTTTACCGGAGCTGGTTTTCGTCATATATGGCCGTGGCTGATGATGCTTGAGTCATTAAAATTACCGCGCTATAATTCAAACGTAACCACAATATCGATTTCTTCGCCGGTAAAAAATGAATCTACACTTTGCCGTCGTGCCGTTATGACTCTCCCGAGACCACCTCGTACTTTTCTCCAGCTGAGGCCTTTGCAACCTCCGCAGAATTATGCTTCGTTCGTAAAGTCGTTGCGACTTACGGAAAAAATCCGACCCAGACGACCGCCATGTAACATCCTCGTCACAAAAGCATTATGTGCTGATGATGCCGATGTCCTCGACTAATCGCGGAATGGTTTTCTAATGCCTAAAGGCAGGTCCTTGAATTTTGCTAAAACAGATGCAGGGAAATTATCTCGTACATATCGCGTGCAGAAACGACAATCCAAACATCAATCAGTCAGTATTTGCACGCAGATTGTATCAGTCATCCAGAGTTTGGGTATTATTTCGTCGTATGTTCGTTGTTATGAAGAAAGATATATTTATTTATAATTCACGGACTATGTGCCATAGTGTACATTGAATATCTAGATATTCTGTCCCTTCTGTGGCAGGCCAGCTGGTAACGCCTTGCGACGCCGTCTGAGTTTTAAGCTGTAATATAAACACTGTCGTCTGATAATTTCACAGTTACGTTCAACCGGAGTTAGTCGTATCAGCCAGAGCCGACGCGGTTCAAACTAGCGAGGAGTGTCATTATCATCATTCAAAATCTATTATGTTAGGGGCTATTTTTACAATACCTTTCACACAGAATATAATAAGCCATTTCATTAAAAAAGCAAACATTCTGTCGTATCATTTGATAAGTATAGAATACGAACAGCGAATCTACTTGAGACAAACGATTCGATTTCTACGTACAGAGAGGGGTTATCGTGAAAGCGTTTGCTGCGGCTGACAGAAGACGAGCAAACAGCGTAAAAGGTAAGGGCTTCTTTTAAATTACACTATAGTTAACTCCTCAAGCCATTCGTTCGGCCAAATATTAATCATCGGTACGTTTCATCCATTCACAGTGCTCAGAGACTATCTAGTCGAAAGTTGTAGGCTACACGCCCCCATCAGTCGATACCATTTGCGTTAAGCCGGCTGCTCGAGCGACACTGTTCATAGACCGTAACAAGCTTCTATTCAGATAGAAGTATAGCATCGAACGTGAGAGGGCTTCAAGTATTTCCTTAGAAAGCTAGAAAGGCCTTTCAAGAAGTTTTAATCAAAACCTACGTGAGATGGCCATTATTTATGATCAAAGATATAACACTCATTCTTCTCTTCTCAGCCGTAAAGAGGTCGCGTCAGCGTAAACATGAGAAGCTACAGTTATGAGACATCCACAGGCGGACGTCAACGGCAGCTCCGCGTAAACATTCACATCTGGATCATGTGGGTCAACTCCGAAAACTCGAACGCTGCCAGCGTCGTGTTAAGCCAGGTCATGCTATCACGCGGTTGTTCCTGATGTTTCGGCGTTGACGTCTCCTCACACGAGTGTTTCATATTTTTCCTCGGTTATCTGTGCCCTTAATGGAATACGTTTTTCGTAGGACGCAAAAGGTGTTTCAGCCACTGCCCGAAAAGCAGCCAGCAAGGCCTGTTTGGCTCGTGAATCACGATTTCAATACGGTTCAGACGCTGGGTCGAACTCTTGTTATTTGCGGATGCTATGGAGCGTATGGCCGTAGCTCGCAACGAACTTCAACGTCATGTACTTGTTGCACACGCAGAATCCCCTATACGTACTACAGTACATCCGCATAGACTAATAGAGCGAAATTTCCACGATTTGCTTTGCCCTATCTCTCGTCGTAATCGGGTTTTCCTATTGAACTTAAAGCATAAAATGGAGATAGGTTTGTTCAGACGTGAGCATACAAAGCACGTATAGTCATTAATGCATGCGCACCCATAACGTGCAGCAACGTACTTTCGCAAAAGAAAACACTACTAAACCAGGACGAACACATCCCTATGGCAAAAAGCTTTAGTACATTGTAGCGTAGCTCCCAAAACAACGAAATTACAGTAACAATTGATGTGAATTTTTTTTTCGTATGAAGCGTTTCCATGTATAGACAAGAAATGACGTTCCCGCTAAAACGTGTATATACGTACATCGCAGTCAACAGATTGCTTGAACCGACGCGACGTTATTTCCAGCTGCCGACCGCGCTTAGCGAGCGCTGTGGCGTCAGCTTGTTGTTAGTTTGTAGAGACCGGGAAGAATCAGGAGCATCTAAGGAGGGTAAAGAAGACATTTAGCCCGTTAGCTCTGGATCAACAAGATTGTCATATTCATGCGGCTACAGCTGTCGCCAGTGCGGCAACTGACACGGATATGGTTGAACTAGTCGCCGACGTCAGGTATGGGGCAATCGGCAGGTTAAACTTTTTGTAACCGCTTGTTTGTCTACCATGTAAGTGATTTTTGTAATGAGCAAAGCTGATCGTAGGAATGGGTCAAATCATTTTGCCAGCTATATTCCGGCTAATGGGCAAAACATAACTCTAGAACATTTCGATTATTTATATATACAATTGCATCAAGACTTGGCTGGTGCTTCTAATCCGCGAGATGTAGCGCAGCTAGTTAGTACTTAGGATAGGTTTGACAACGTGTTGGAAAACGCTGAAGTATTATAAGTCATTTCCGGTTGTAGGTGCAGGGAGTCAATTCCCAGGTAGTGAATGCGTTTCTCTGGTGCTGATAACCGGAAATTCGGACCGACAGAGAGTAAAGTTCAAGACGGAAAGTCATACTAGTTCTACTTTATTTATGTAGACTTTGTATAAACAACGAATACGCTATGATCGACTATTGGCTAAATGCGACGGACTCGCGCCGATGAGGACTAGAACGATGTGATCCTGCAGCGAAGATAGCAAGACTGTAAACCATACTAATTAGCTCGACGATGTAAAAACATCTTGCCATCGATGTCTTGGTACAGCTTCTTGTTGGAAGCGCGCTCTATCTCCTGGTCGATTTGTCGCCTGATAAAATGGGGTAAACTGGCCAGCGGAGCAACGACACCGCAGGGCAACTGCAGTAAGTCGTGTGGATGGGCACTAGCAGCTACGGCAGAGATCTATCAAAACTCGTTGAGCATTTGAGCAATTTGAGACATATAACTGTTGCATAAATTTGCGAAGAACGTCATGAGGGCCGAAGTCGCTGTTGAAGCCGGCGTTGGTGTCGCACGTGGGTGCCTCTTAGGAGATATTCTATGCTGAGGCACCTACTAAAACTACATAAGCAGTAAGTAGTTAATAAGCATTGACGTGTTGGCTCAAAAACCGACCCTCACCTTTCCCAGAGCGTTGCAATTGCAAAGAGGCAAAAGGGATCAGCGCAAATTCATGTAGACGATGCTTTGGATACTTGGGACGTTTCGGATGTGCATTTGGGGCAGCTTCTGCCGGCTCGTGTTCGTCGATTTTTAAAGAATCGCGCATTACGGTACCTGATCGGGGACCGAAAAAATAGATGTGAGGCAACATTATCTACCACAGAGCCACTCATTTAGATCTGCTGGTAAATACAAAGCTACAAGTAGTTTTCAGGTAAGCTTCGAACGTGTTAAAAACGCAACGACTATCTAAGCATGCAAAGAACTAGTGGTCTTCATCCATTCCGATGTCCGAGGGTAATATTCAGTTAACACTGAGAGTTTTCTACGATCATTAAAGCCAATCGAAATATTACGGCTCGTTCGGAGCAAATCGCACAAAAATAACTAGGTGGTACCCAGGAAACAACAAACTGTATCGTATGCAACTGTAAGCAACGAGAACGCGAGCGTATTAAGTGATTTTGTTTTTCTTACGGAAGAATATTTGGATTGAAAATAGTATTGCATTTGTGTATAATGAGTAACGTTAATTAATATCGCAGCACTGTTTATTGAGTAACAAACGTTGTGTGTATTTACGGTTAGTGGCTTCTTGTTTTTGCCCTATGATACGTGTGCCGCGTTGTCTCCTTGATAGAATTGGCATCATCAGATTATCCTTCCGATACTTTTCTGTACCGTTGCTATAAGGACACCACTTCACAACTTTTGTTCATAGATAATAATCGTCCGTTAGCGTCCGAAGCGAGAACCACTATATAAGTTGATAAATATTTTTTTAGAAGTAAGGACAAGGCTTTCTACGATAGGACTAGAGGTCTCAATTCTGGAGAGCTAAAACACATTCCAGTGTACTGTTTGAGCGTACACACGAACCCGCAAAGTGAAGCGTTCATTAAATAAAAAATGAAAAGAGTAATAATAACGCAAAGGTTTATGGTGCTTAGATCTTAATAGTGTTGTTATTACCCGTGATTTAGTAATTCTAAAACTCCCAAATGGTTTTATGCAGTTGTCCTGAAATCTTTCCGTTTCATCTGGTATTGGCTTTCTTTCGCTGCCATTTGGGTAAGCCATTGTTTTTTGCATGAAGCGAACTTACTGCTACTAATTACTGCGAGAATTGCCACGATCGATAAAAACTAAAACTAACACAGGGCTCAAAAACGAACATACATTTATATATAGTGTGTGACGAGTGTTTCATATGTACACTTTTTAACAAAGATCGCCCTATATAACCCAGAAAAATTGAAACCCAGTCTTCAACAACAAGTCACACGTTTCGATGAAAGCTTCGCCTTCAAGTTAGAGAGCTGCAGTTCTTTATTTGATTCCGTATAGCTACTAAAAGTTTTTCTTTTTCCAGAAACTCAGTGCGTATGAGCGTACATGTAAATCGAACGTTTTTATTTCTAATAAACATCGAACGAGTATTTACGAAACCTGATGTATTGCTTACCTCCGAATAGGAGGCTAACTATTGGAAGAGCGACATTTCTTTTTGGAGGTGTATAAATCCGTAATGACGTTAATGTTCCTGCGTGTTTTCTCTCGTTAACTCTCGGTTGGTCATATACACAGATCCGATACCGGACAACAAACCGCTTCTCGAATGAAGCCCATGGGTAACATAGATCGGCTTGTGATTAATTAAAATGCAGTGGACTATTTTCCTAGTCTAATCATGTATGAAATACATAGAAAGAGACCTGTACACAGACACTCGTACTACATGAATCTGTATACTACTCACGCCACCTTCCACGCTCATTCATCCATTGGGTCACCGTAATAAATTTATGTATGTACCCACTCATCTCTAGACTCACATATACTAATACATGCGGTCGTATATGGGCCTGAGAAATTAAACGTCGATGTTACTTGTTCGATTCATCATGTATATATGTGACAACAGCGAGAAGTGGTAATTGAGAAATGAATGATAAACCCAGCCGGCAATGTTTTTGACGTGACAGCTACGGCTGTTGACGGACCGCGCAATAGTTGACGATCCCGTACGACTAATAGGATAATAGAAGTGCCCTTTGAAGTAGCATTGTCAATCACACCGTTACGTCTCACCGTAGTAGTCGCGGGGGTAGTAGCCGTGACGGTAGTGAGGGCTGTAGCGTTAGTAGAAGTGCAACGAATAGCAACTAATAGATGGCCCCTTGGCCTCCTCGTTGTTCGCCCGCACATTCTTCATCATCTTGGTTTTTGATATTTCTTGTTGATATCTCTTCATCACCATTATAATTAGCATGCTATTGCGTGACTATTATCCATGTCAACGGCGTCGTCTCTAGCCTTGTCATCTTCATCAACAATTAGCCATTCCATCGCCATCTGGCTGGAGGGCCGCTATGCCTTAGCTCGTCCTATTCGGGTCTTTTTCGTCGTTTGATCAACTTGCGACATTAGAACTGTTATGGTCGGATCTCACTCTCGAATTTAGATGAACGCCATCAAATAGAAGAACCGAACGTGCAATGACAACGCAACATCTCACCACTGGCGGCCAATATTGGCCCATACCAACGATGCCGGCCAACGACTCCAACAACGCGGGCTGCCATCGCGGTTACGACGGCAGTTGCACTCACCCTATAGCAATAGCTGTAATCAACAGCAACAACAGAAGAAACAACAAAAACAGCCACAACAATAGCAGAATTGCTACGACCGGTGACTATCCTGCCCAGGTTCACTATGACGACTATGTCGTCGTATCGCCAGCACTACTGTTAACAGCATTGCCACAACCTTTATTAGGTAGGTAGCAACGGCTTGCTCATCGCGACAATAAATCTTCGGCAGAAACTACGGCTGGCAACTATCGCACTGCGCCGATAGCAGCGGACTGTGGTGTGTCATGCCGCTTCCGTTCCATTAACAATACTATTTGTTTTGTCCCTTCTCGTCCTATTTCGTTTGATTTGTGCATCTGTGCCGCTCAGTCAGGTCCATAATCACCATGACCATGATCATCATCATCATCATCATCGTGATCTTCTTTGTTGTCTTCGTTCGTTTACGCGGAAAAACAACCTCTAGGTAACAGCGCCAGCGTAAGCTGCAACGATAATACCAGCACACAACTGCAACCAAAAATGGTAACCCAACGACAATATAACTGTTAACAGATAGCGCCACCCGCACCCCCTCGAGCATCTTCAGCTATCCCTGTGTCCCTACCCCGCAACCCCATTTAGGGTCTTCCCATAACCGCCTATACAGCCAGTCAGCCAGATGCTGGAATAACTCGAAATTCTATGGCCGATTACCTTCGCCACCTGGAAACGCTAATCTTCGTTCAGCATTATCGACAGAACATAACTATGGTAAATTAGTTCTATGTTGATTTTACTTACTCGTTGGTGCCCCCATCGCTATTATTTTGCTATTACTTCTCCAACCACTGCGGCTGCTGGTTCAGCGGCAATTGACTACGTAAATGTGACCTCGTTGATGCACAACTGCAGTATAACGATGGTCTGGTGTAAAGGAATAGCGATAACATACCGAATACGAGTTTTAACGGTAAGTTGAAGGGTTAGGCACACGTCCATGCATACTCGCATTCTCTCACTTACACAAAAAATATACATCAGTTTTCGCTCAACAGACAAACAGGCAGGAAGGCAGGAAAGGAGGCAGACGGGCACGCCGATGATGAACGAATTGACTCCTTTAAAAGCAGCACCTTGATAGCTATAAAACCGCGACAAAACAAAGTGGGGTGGTGGGGTGAGTTGGGCATGCTCCTAAACATAGACGGCAAATAGTTTGATGATGCGAGATAAGCTGTTGCCCTATGAGTGTCGCCACTGGCGGGGGTCAAGCATCGCTTACATCGCTACCCGCTGTTAACCGTGCC